CTTCGGCCTCCTCGAGGAATTTCACACTTGGCCTCAGGTCCTCCTGCCGTCGCCGAAGGAGGAAAGGAAATGAGACGAAATGATGGACGGAGGGAATGAAAGATTGATGGAGCAGGAAAGGAACCAAAAGACAGTGGAATACACAGAGAAAAATTATATTTAGAGAAAGGAGAAAGAGAAAAAATGTTTAAGAAAGGAAAAAAAATCAAACAACAAAAATAAGAAAGAAAACATTGAGAAAAGCCAATCAAACTAAAAAAAAAATGAAAGAAAAAAAAATATTATCAACTATAAAACAAACAGAAAAAAACAAAAAGAAACAAAAATATCAAGCCAATATAAGGGGAAAACAGGAACACTTACCCTCAACACTTCATCATGGGGCAGAGTGCCGTTGAAAATTGCATAGACCTTCGCCGGGTCAATCTCTCCACGGACGTAAGATAAAACGTCAATGAAACAGTCTGGAGCGAATTTTACGAGACCTTCGCCCTTAACAACACTCTGTGGAGGGAGGGGGGGCACTGGATAGATATGGTGGCTGATAGATAATGATGGATTGGTTGATTCATAAAGATAGATATGGTGGCTGATAGATTGGTTGATTGATAAAGATAAATATGGTGGCTGATAGATAATGATATATTGGGTGATTGATAAAGATAGATATGGTGGCAGATAGATAAAGATAGATATAGTGGCAGATAGATAATGATAGATTGGTTGATTGATAAAGATAGGGATGTTGGCTTATAGATAAAGACATATTGGTTGATTGATAAAGATAGATATGGTGGCAGATAGATAATGATAGATTAGTTGATTGATAAAGATAGGGATGTTGCCTTATAGATAAAGATAGATTGGTTGATGGATAAAGATAAGGATGGTGGTTGATAATGATAGATGTGATGATTGATGGATTATGATCGGTTGATAGATGATGACAGATGTGATGGTTGATTGATACGAATAGGTTGACAGATAATGATAGATAAAGATAAGTCGATAGATAATGATAGATAGGATGGTTGATGGATTAAGGCAGAATGATGGATAATGATAGATGGGAGGTCATTTAATTTAGAGACAGGGCACAGGACAGGCATGGTGATTTATAGATAAAGATATGTGATGGTTGATGTGAGTGATAGGTAGTGGGGGTGATTTGACAAGAAAGAAGTGGAGAGGTGCAGAGATAAATAAATAGAGGGTGTGTGTAAGAGAGAGAGAGAGAGAGAGAGAGAGAGAGAGAGAGAGAGAGAGAGAGAGAGAGAGAGAGAGAGAGAGAGAGAGAGAGAGAGAGAGAGAGAGAGAGAGAGAGAGAGACAGACAGACACAGACAGAAAAAAATATAGAGAGAAAATGACAACAAAACAAACCGAAACAACTTACTATCCCAACGAACTTGCAGAATGTTCTCGAGACGTTGTTTCTGGGTTCGTTGTATTCGAAGTGGCTGGTCTCACAGGCCTTTGGCGACTTGCAGCTGTATTCGGTGGACGTTACCTGAAGGAGGAAGAAAAAAAGGTAGGAACCACGTACATGCACGCACACACAAATCCCGCCCACATACACACACACACACATCCCGCCACATACAAGCACACACAAATCCCGCCACATACACACACAAATCCCGCCCACATACATACACACACAAATCCCGCCCACACACACACACACAAATTCCGCCCACATACACACACACACAAATCCCGCGCACACACACACAAATCCCGCGCACACACACACACACAAATCCCGCCCACATACACACACGCATCTACACAACACTCACTGAAATCCCCTCTCTCCAACACACACACAAACACCCCCTCCCACACAACACCTAGTAAAAACCCCTCTTTGCGACTCACCCACACACACAACAAAAAAACCCTCCCCTAATCCACAAACACCCCACCAACCCCCCCACCCACAAACACCCTAACCCACAAACACCCCCATCCCGCCAACCCCAACCCACAAACACTCTCACCCACAAACCCACAAACACCCCCATCTCTCACCCACCACCCTCACCATCCGCCAACCCGACCCACAAACACCCTCGCCCACCACCCTAACCCACAAACACCCCATCCCGCCAACCCCCAACCCACAAACACCCTCACCCACTCACCCTAACCACAAACACCTGCCAACCCCACCCAAACCCCCATCCCCACCCACAACACCCCTTCCCTGCGACCCACCTGCCCATTTTCATTGACAGGAAGAACGACAACGATGGCGAGGTCTGTCTCGTTGATGGGCGCCCATAGGTACTGGAGGGTGCGGTGACGTACCCGCATGGCACTCGGGATATTGATGCCCCGCGGGTAACCCAAGGACTCCACGTACAACCCTTTTACGGTCTGTTGGGGGAGGAGGGGAGGGGGAGGGGGAGGGACGGCGATAAGGGGTAGGGAGAAGGGTGAGGGAGAGGGTTGGTGATGGGGAAGTGTAAAAGGGATGGAGGAGAGGAGGGGGTGAAGATGAGACCGGGGAGGGGGAGGTGGGATGGGGTGAGGATGAGAGGGGGAGGGGGAGGTGGGATGGGGTGAGGATGAGAGCGGGGGAGGGGGAGGTGGGATGGGGTGAGGATGAGACCGGGGGAGGGGGTTGAGGTGAGGAAAGGAGTGGGGAAGGGGGTTAAGGTGGGGGAAGGAGTAGGGAAGAGGGTTGAGGTCGGGGAAGGAATAGGGGTATGGAGAGGAGTGGGGAATGGTGGGCGGAGATAAAAAGAGCGGGATAGTTAGCATGTGTGTGTGAATTAAATGAGTATAAGGTATGTGAAATTAAAAGTGAACATGTAGATTCTGAAGTATTGGCCATGTAAATCTAATAATGTCATATGGACATTTAGACAGGCAAACAGATATATAGACAGGTAGAGACAGATAGAGATATAGACAGGTAGAGAGACAGATAGATAGACACATATACATACACAGAAATATATGTGTATATATATATATAGAGAGAGAGATAAAACAATGGATAGATAGATAGGTAGAATAGATAAATATATAGATAGATAGAATAATAGATAAATATATAGATAGATAGAATGATAGATAGATGGAATGATAGACAGAATGATAGATAGATAAACAGATAGAATGATAAATAGATAGATAGAATGATAGATTGATAGATAGATAGCTATACATATATACATACATATATATATATATATATATATATATATATATATATATATATATACATAGCTACATATATAAGAATACATACAGTAGCAGGACAAGACGCCTGAAGCCACAATACCTCGTTCCCCGTCTCTTGCCGGACCGCCTTGTCGAGAATGTGCCTGACTCCCGGACTGATCTCGAGCTTGTCTATCGTCACATAGGTCGGGTCTACAGTCACCGAGTGCGGGGCGGGGAGGAGGGGATGTTTCAGCGCCCTGCCGAGACGGTCCACGATGAAGACGTACCCGCCCTCGATGTCTGAAAGGAGAGATAGGAGGCGGGTGTATTTGGGAGGAGTGGGTGAGGGTGGTTGGTTGGGGGGGAGGGAGGGGAAGGGGGACAAGGAGAAGTAGAGAGAGAGAGATATACACATACACAAATAGATCTCTCAGACTCAGGAACTACAGATTTGCTTATTGGCGAGACAAGAGAAAAACTATTACGCCATGAATTACGTGTTGATGAGTGAGAGAAAAAGTGTGTGTGTGTGTGTGTGTGTGTGTGTGTGTGTGTGTGTGTGTGTGTGTGTGTGTGTGTGTGTGTGTGTGTGTGTGTGTGTGTGTTGTGTGTGTGTGTGTGTGTGTGTGTGTGTGTGTGTGTGTGTGTGTGTGTGTGTGTGTGTGTGTGTGTGTGTGTGTGTGTGTGTGTGTGTGTGTGTGTGTGTGTGTGTGTGTGTGTGTGTGTGTGTGCCTGCCTGCTTGCCTGCCTGCTTGCCTGCCTGTCTGTCTGTCTATCTGTCTATATGTCTGTGTCTGCGTGCGTGTGTGTGTCTGTTCGCCGCTTGTACAGACTAACACCCACCATCAACGTTGATTACCGCTTCGAGCAAGTTGATGATGCTCAGATCGGAGCAGACGGTGCCCACAAACGATCTGTTGTGCATGAGGGTCATGCACACAGTGATGATGTATCCGTCCCCGAAGGCGTCATAGTATGGTATGGGAATAACAGGTCGGCTGCCATCCTCCAGGCCATAGCTTTGGGGGAGAAAGGGAGAGTGGGTGATTTATTTTTTTATTTATTTTGTTTTTATTCTTTCCTTAGATGGGGGGTGAGCCGTTTTCTATATATAGAGAGGAAGAGGGTGGTTACTTCTAGTTCCTATTATTTATTTATTTTTATTTTTATTTTTTTTATTTTTTTTTATTTATTTTTTTTTTTTTTTTTTGAAAAGGAGTCTAATAATGGTTAATTTGTGGGGGAAAGAGGTGTGAGTAAAATGAAAATATTTACGATGACGCTGAATTATTGTTAATATTTCATTTTGGTCTTCCATTTTGAATTTTCACTCTGGCCATTCAAACGTTTTCTTGACATTCGTGATGGTGATGATGGTTGATAATAATAACGCTAATGACGAACAACATAACGGCGGTGGTCGTGTTAAGAATACAGAAAAAAGATAACAGTAAGAAATTTTAATCTCTTGGGGTTCAATTGGCCTTTGCCGGAGCCCCACACGGTCCAGGAAAGAACAACGATCAACAAGAGACACACTTAAGGCTTAACATACCTAGGAATCTCGGTTTCGGACGCGTACAACTCCCCATTATCCTTAATCGGAGAGAACGTGACTGTGGCGCCGTTCTTCTCCATTATTACTCCCCTTTTCACGCCCTGTGGGACTCCTTTGGGGGGAAATACAAAGCACGCGTGAGAGACAAAATGCCACGACACGCACGTATTAAACAAGAAATATTCAGTACTTTATGAAATCACTTACATGTCTATGGGTCATGATTATCTAAAGAAGAAGGGAAACACTGCAAGACTGATCTTGTTTTCATAAATTCATAAACAAAACTGGTTTATATGTACATGGATTATATCTAAAGAAAAATTACTGTAAAATTGCTCTCGTTTATGTTTATGTATTCATAAAACAGCAGTTTGTGTGTCCATAGATTATATCTAAATACACACACACACAAACGTACATATATACACACATACACACACACACATACACACACACAAATACACATACACAAACATAACATATACACACACACATACATACATATATATTTATATATTTATATTTATATTTATATGTATGTATATTATATATATCACTACATAATTACTTTTTATCTTACATATTCATAGAAAATAACTAGCTGACGCACCATAGAGGTGGTTTATCACAATGGAAATGCCAAGGTCGAGCGAGGCGTCGAGCTGCTTCACGAGCGCGTCGTCGTCCCGCCACTTCTCCCAGTCGCCCCTCTTCGTCACGTAGACCAGGACGCTGTGAGGCTGTCCTGGGGAGGCGAGCGAGAATTAGTGGACGCGAAGGTAGATGGCGTTAGGGGTGGCTATATCTTGGTTGACTACCGGATAAGGCTAGATCAGTAGTAACTCGGAGGAGGAGTCATGGCGTTTGTTTTGATGGTTGCTCAATGAAAATATAACCCATTAGAGTTATTATTTCCCATACTATTTGAAGATTGTAAAGACTAAAATCAAATAGCCAAATATGTTAAAGAAAAAGTATAAACGTAAAAAAGTGACCAAAAATCAATCCCTGTGAATTTCACGAAAAGAAATGTAGTCTCCGTTATATCCATCTTTACACATCCATCCCCCTCAAAGCATCCGTAACTTTAGTGACGTCATCAAAATAAACTCCATGTGTTTTTTCCCAAAAATAGAATCAGACGCCATGACACCTGGAGTTGCTACTGATCTAGCCTTCCCCGTTAACTATCTGGACGTTATTTCGGTTTCATGAGTAAATAGTGATATCCTTTATAAGATTGTTTCAAATCTACCTGAATATGATTTCAAAGGTTAGATAAGGATATATATATATATATATATATATATATATATATATATATATATTTCTACTTGGACATTGTTTCACTGATTAAACGAGTAAATATTGATTTTTTCCCCACGTGGACATATTAGACGAATAATATCAGTCTATTTAACACAAACTATTTTGTCATCAAATGAGTGAACACCAATTTATAACTTAAAATATATATTTTTAGGAGTCATTTCTTCAATTAACAATATTTAAAAAAACTCGGCCTCACCGGCAATCTGCAAGTACTGAGATTCATTTTGCTTCTTCAGCAGGTCCGACCCCGCCTTCAGCGCCGACGCCTGGTCACTGAAGGCCGCATATTCCCCAAAGTTCTTCAGGATTTCGCTTAGCTTGGCCCTGTTGCCTTTATTGTTGAAGAGCAAGCGGCCGAGGAAGGTCGTCTGTCCGAGGGGCCCGTCCTCCCGCGGCCACGTACAGCCGTGAGGAAAGCGGTCGCGCTTCCAGACGACGGTCCGGCAGGAGTTGCTGTCGGGGAGGCACAGGCCAATCTGCAAGAGGGGCGAGGGTGGGGGGGGGGTCGTTACGAATGGGTGGACTGGCTTGGGGTGGTCATCTTTTTTTATGAAGGTGCTGTGTAGGATCAGGGGCGGGGTTTGGGCAGGCAGCAACAGGGACGGGTGCTTCGGCCCAAAAATTCTTAGGGTGGCAGGAAAAAAATCATTGGAGCAATATATACATATGTATGTATGTGTGTGTGTAGATAGAGAGATAGATATAAATGTATATGTATATATATATGATAAAATGGCGATATTAAATTATAATAATGATCTCAAAATTGCGCACGCATCCCTTCACAAAAGAAACATCCCAATGTTCGACCATATTATTTTTTTTAGCATGGGGCATATCAGTAATGCCATTAAAAACTAATGCAGGAATTTTATATCTGACGATTTCAAATATATTAGAGGATACTGATATCAAATGTCTTCAATTATATCACTACTTTCCTAAAATACGTGTCCCTGGGAGTGACTCACTGCTGCCGCTCTCGCCCCTGTGGCAGGTGACATACGACTTCGTCCCCCCCCCCAACCCAACTACCCCAGGCGCAAAGGCCGTGATGGAAACCGTAGGAGGCGCAGAAGGCAATGTGCAGTGGACTAGCCTGCAGGAGCCGCTAACGAGCGATCGGGATGCCTTGGACGAGACACTGCGGTCGTTGCTGAAGTGGAGGATGCTTGTTTGGTGAATTGTCAATTCCTGCTCCTAAAATCGGAATGGACGGTTGAAAATACGTATTTCTGAAAGCTGGCGACAAAAAGCAGCAATCAGATGTTTGGCGCCAAGACCAAGCGTACTTTCATTTCCTTTATATCTCAAATCATGTGTGCATTTTGTTTCTTCGAGGAGGTCCAGCATTTTTCATGATTTTGTTATTCTTCATTTTATTGATATTTATTAATGTTTTATTGATCCTCCTTCTCTCCCTCCCTCCTT